TGAAGCCATAGTTAAAGTTGCTTCCATTCTCAGGGACACCCAGCATGTCGTACCAGAGCTGGGCTGGACCGTACCTCCATTCTGCCACTTTAGGTCGAGACTCCGCCTCTTTGTCGACGTCACCACAAGCCTGTGAGAACTTTGATTCTACTGGAGCCATCATAGTTATCTGGACAGAAGAGGAAACCATGTAAAGTGGTGGAAATAGCAATGTATTTTCAGGCTGCTGTGAGTTGACATCACGTGGCTTTACCTCATCGTCAGACAGACACTGCTCCGGAGGAGGAGGGTTGGCATACTCATAAATCCACCCAGACTTTTTCTCCTGGTTTTGCTCCACGACCTCTCCTTCAGGAGGAGGTGTTCCAGGGTGAGGCTCTCTGTGTTTCCGTTTCTTTTTACGGCGGGCACTCCTCCAAACCGATGGCATGTTTTTTCCAGGACCAAACAGTCGAAGGAACCGAAGTACCTATTCATAAATGTAATAAAATATACCTGTCATATACAGATGTTTAAAAAAAACAACTTGTGCAGAAAAGACTTATACGCTTCAAAAGAAGCTTTACCTTGCCTGGCCTAAACTCTGGAAAGAGCTCTGTGACGCTTGGCAACGCTTTGGCAGCATCTTTCTGCATGATGCCAGCTAGAGGGAGGTTGAGCCTGTCTGGGGGGCCTCCAGCCCCCTGACAGGGGCGGTCAGTTTCGGACTCAGAATCCGAGGAGCTGCTGAAGTCGACCTTATCCGCAGTAGAGGAGGGTGCAATAATGGAGGGCAGGATGATGCCATCACCATCTTCCGCAGTTGCTAGAAGAGACAGTGTCATTTTACAGAAGCAGGTGCTTGGAATGATTAAAACTTGCTTTAATTTATGCACGACTGGATGGAAATTTAATAAATGTGCCACATTGTTCAAGACAAACACGGATACATTACAGACAGTGCTTATGGGTGTATGTGTGCTCACCATTTGTGCTCTGAGAGGAAGATTCCTCTTTCTTAGCTGGCGTGGAAACACTTGGTGGTGGTGGAGGAGGCATCAACTTTGAGTCAATATCCTCACAGTCGGCATCATAATCGTCATCATCATCTAAGATTAAAAAGTTAGAAAACGTGTTTACTTAAAAACAAAGCAAAGATTGAAATGGAAGTCCAAACCAATTTGATAGGAATTTAAAAACAGCTAACAAAGTGATGAAAAACAGGCATTAAGAGTGATTAATAGGTGGAAATATTTAGTTTTTCTTTTCTTTATGTCCCACTTTAAAAGAAAATACCTAATCTTTTACAGTATTTACTACAAATTGAGCATTCATTGTTACATTTTTTTACTCATTATTTTTTCGATCAAAAGTTAAAGTGACACTAGGGAGCTGCAAAATTATCACCCGTCTTTCTGCTGGGTTGCAAAGACCCCATGGCCTGACGGTACTTTTTTGTCTCATCCTCAGCCACTTCGCTGATGTCTGAATAGTCGACTGCATCCTCAGTGCTTTTCACCCAACCTGCATGAGAAAACATGCCCAAAATATCATCGAATCTTGTTACTGCCTAGTCACACCAAGTTCCTTCATACATTTCTCCTCACCTTCAGAATCCACATTTCCAGTGTCTCTGTTTTCCTCCTTATTCTCATCCTCACTGGCGGTAATCTCTGTAATGAGAGAACCCAGACCCAGATTCCCCAAACCAGCTAGATGTTTTTTAGACTCCTGGTGAAAGATCAGACAAGATATGAAGAAAAAAACAAAAGCAGACAGAATGCAAACATATTGCTTTAACTACACTAACAATGCATTATGAATTTTTACTTGAGTAACACACTCACATTATCTAAAACACTGTCATCCTCCAGCTGTCCATCTTCGTTGATGTTTCCAAAGAGGAACCCAGTGAGAGAAAAGGGTCGACCCTGATCCTCGTCGCTGTCTGAATCCGACATCCTACATGGACAATAATTACAGTATTTTAAAACTATCCGAATACATGATACTTGTCTCAGTATGTCGTATAACAAAACGTGATTACAGATGCGCCACAATGAAAACGTAAACTAACTCAAAATGCATACATATTTAAGTATCACCCACCTTTTCTGACCTCTCTTTTGATGTTTTAAGCTTGGGTTTGAGCCAGTTTGTTACTAGCACTTAATGCTAACTCAGGAAGCTAAAAGCTAAAAACGTTAGCTTTTGCTAACTAAGGTTTACTACGAAACCTAAAATCTAGATTATTGTACATGTTTCTTTGTGGTCGCGGTAAATTACAGAATCCAAATAAAAACGAGATCTTGCATTAAACAAAACCCTGGCACAGCCACATTTAGCATAAAGTCTTTATTTGTGTTCAACGCAGCAGCATCCGGCAGGCGGAAGAGTTATGTGACCCGGATGTACTGCGTGATGCGTTCACGGAGTTCGGAAAGTTGTCAACTTTATAGAGCAGTTTGGAAAATGTGAAAGTCTCCTACAGTAATTCGTTTCTTTAAGATACAGGTGCTGGTCTTAAAATGAGAATATCATGAAAAGGTTGATTTATTGCAGTAATTCCATTCAAAAAGTGAAACTTGTATATTATATTAATTCATTACACACAGACATAAATTTCAAATGTTTATTTCTTTAAATGTTTATGATTATAACTGACAACTAATGAAACCCCCAAATTCAGTATCTCAGAAAATTAGAATATTGTGAAAAGGTTCAATATTGAAGACACCTAGTGTCACACTCTAATCAGCTAATTAACTCAAAACACTTGCAAAGTCCTTCAAATGGTCTCAGTCTAGTTCTGTAGGCTAAATAATCATGAGGAAGATGCTGACTTGACAGTTGTCCAAAAGACGACCAGTGACACCTTGCACAAGGAGGGCAAGACACAAAAGGTCATTGCTAAAGAGGCTGGCTGTTCACAGAGCTCTGTGTCCAAGCACTTTAATAGAGAGGTGAAGGGAAGGAAAAGATGTGGTAGAAAAAGTGTACAAGCAATAGGGGTAACTGCACCCTGGAGAAGATGGTGAAACAAAACCCATTCCAAAATGTGGGGGAAATTCACAGAGTGGACTGCAGCTGGAGTCTGTGCTTCAAGAACCACCACGCAGTTGTATGCAAGACATGGGTTTTAGCTGTCGCATTCCTTGTGTCAAGCTACTCTTGATCAAGAGACAGCATCAGAAGCATCTCACCTGGGCTAAAGACAAAAAGGACTGGACTGCTGCTGAATGGTCCAAAGTTATGTTCTGTGATGAAAGTAAATTTTGTATTTCCTTTGGAAATCAAGGTCCCTGAGTCTGGAGGAAGAGAATCCACATTGCTTGAGGTCCAGTGTCAAGTTTCCAGTCAGTGATGGTTTGGGGTACCATGTCATCTGCTGGTGTTGGTCCATTGTGTTTTCTGAGGTCCAAGGTCAACGCAGCTGTCTACCAGGAAGTTTTAGAGCACTTCATGCTTCTTGTTGCTGACCAACTTTATGGAGATGCAGATTTCATTTTCCAATAGGACTTGGCACCTGCACACAGTGCCAAAGTTACAGTACCTGGTTTAAGAACCATGATATCCCTGTTCTTAATTGGCCAACAAACTCGCCTGACCTTAACCCCACAGAAAATCTATGAGGTATTGTGAAGAGGAAGATGCGATACACAGACCCAACAATTCAGAAGAGCTGAAGGCCACTATCAGAGCAACCTGGGCTCATAACACCTGAGCAGTGACAGACTGATTGACTCCAAACCACGCTGCATTGCTGCAGTAATCCAGGCAAAAGGAGCCCCAACTAAGTATTGAGTGATGTACATGTTCATACTTTTCATGTTCATACTTTTCAGTTGGCCAACATTTCTAAAAATCATTTTTTAAAATTGGTCTTAAGTAATATTCTAATTTTCTGAGATACTGAAGTTGGGGTTTTCATTAGTTGTCAGTTAATCATCAACGTTAAAAGAAATAAACATATGAAATATATCAGTCTGTGTGTAATGAATGAATATACAAGTTTCACTTTTTGAATGGAATTACTGAAATAAATCAACTTTGTCATGATATTCTAATTTTATGACCAGCACCTGTATTGTTGTTTCTCTACTAGTTTAAATTTACATATCAATGCAAATATTTTATGTCCTCTTGCTTACTTTGTTATGTAATAATAACAACAACAATAATGTATATAAAGACATTCATATTTTTGTTAGGCGACATTGTTTTGTTTGCAGGCTTTGCTCTCGGTTTTTATTGTGTCCCAAATAATAAAGTTTTGTCTAAACTAGTGTAATCTATTGCTGCTTTTCTTCTAGCAGCAGTGGATATTAGCTTCACCCATTGGTGAAGTGTAAGTTATAGTAGCTTAAACCACCCTGAAAAAAATTGTTCCAGCCAGGTGCTCAGTGATTTTTAAACTGCCTTATTGTTTTTACACAAATTACAGCTGGTCTTTTTGAATTTTGATTGGCAGTTGTATCCAGAAGGCATCTGACCGACTGGTTGGTCATAAAACATCTCGATAACATCATGAACTGTTCAAGAAGAAATGTAATCGTCTTCGAAGAGGTCCCCGTAGTTTTTAAAAGAACAGCATTTTGTGTGATCTGAGAACTTGCTCATCTCTACTGCTGTGAAAAAACAATCATCCTCTTTCTATACTGTAATATTAGTTTTTTATTAGTCTACTCGGGTTAATATTTGGCACAGTTAAGTTCTAGTTATGCTCAACTTTGCTTTTAAAAACTCATTTAAATTCCTCAAAAAGTTGCCAATATTCTTGTACTGACTAGGTCATTCATATTTCCAAAGAAGATTTTAGCCAATCGGTTAATTCTGGGTTATTTATGACTGACTGTAAACTGACACAAGTGTAAAGTGGCAATTATTCAGTGTTGTGTTAAATAACCACCACTCTGGCTTTATGTGTTAACAGCTGGCTTAATTATAAAACCTTCAAGTTAAATTGATAAACAAAAGTCAATAAAGCAAGCATCCAGTAACAGTTTAGCCAGTTTTAATAGTTTTAAACATCTGAAATTGGAAAAAAGTACAAAAGTGATCCTGAACACCACAGTATGAAACCAGCCCAGAAACGTAACGTGATGTGTTCCTTGGAAAAGCATCTTCTACAGACATGTTAATGTCTACTGGCCATACCATACACATACTGTACTCACTAAAACTGACAGAAGCAATGGTTTCAATATAATGGCTGACCCCAGTAAATACATTTACAAGTGATTCTTAAAAAACTAAGTAAAAGGGGAGGGTAAAGAAGTGTGACCACTCTGGTACCTGGCAGTAAAATCATGCAGTATGACAACCGTTCCAGTAAAGAGAAACAGCAAAGCTGTCACACAGTGAGAAAGTGGGCAGCAAAGAGGCATTTAGCCGTTTCAGAGTGCTCATTGGTTGTTTGGATTCTGAGTTTTCTACCACCGAGCAGCAGCTCGGCAGTAACCCAGCCGGCGTTTTGCATACATCGTAAAGTTGCACGTAGGTCTCCGTTAAGGAGAGCTCGTCTTCTACGATCGCGTCTGTTTATAAAAATAGAACTAGTTGCTATTGAGAACCCCAAAATGTGGGATATCCTCTCAGTATGTCTTGAGGAGTAAAAACAAAGCTAAGAAATACAGCTGAATAAATAAATGCATGACATCCATAAAAAACAAGTGGATACAGAGTCACCAGACTGCTCTCCACAAAAGCACGCAAAGTGCTGTTTGCTGTGGCCCGGCAGTGTAGAAACAAGGGCTCCCTCCCACACATCACCTAAAGTTGCATCCTTTGATCCCAAAGGAAAAGTGTCATAAAATATTTAAAAACGTGTTGATTTTTAGAGAGCTTTCTTTGAACGTTAACGTGTGGTTTCCTTGTGTAACAAGCCCTCTGGCTTCAGCAATTCAAGAAGCAATCGATGCAGATGACAAAGAGGAGACACGAGGGAAACGTCCAGTTTTACATTAAATGAAGCCGCTCTGTTGTCATTACCCGATGGCCGGCCTATTGTTAGGGCAGCAGCAGAGAACTTCCTGTCCGGTCAAACTTTTTACCCTTCGAAAGGGCAGCCACTTGTTTCATCAGCTCCCTGTTCTTAGTCTGTGGAAACAAACGAAACACAGATAAACACAGAATTAAAGGAAAGAAAAAAAAAACATTTTTATGAATGCATTTAATAAATCCTGGTTTTGACTTGAACAGCAGCAAATATACAAGAATTTTGAACACTATGCTAATTTAGTAGTTGTGCTAAAATTGTATTGAAAAAAAAAAGGGTGATGCAACACATAAAATAATTAGGAATACTTCATGTTGACTACTATGAAAATAATATAATTAGCTGTCAAATGGAATCTTGGTAAATTTGTATTATATCATTACCAGGTAAGATAGGCGATCATGTAGCTGCTTGGGTTTGTGTTAGCTAATTTGTATGATTTTATTATACTGTATGATTATGGATGCTGCACATGTTAGCGCGTGTGATTCTGAGGTTGTTGTGTGATCAGAACAGATTAAATTATTTGACGCGACTGTTTGTTCCAGTGCTTATATATAATCTGGCCTCTTGACGACTCCTCCGGCGCAGTGTTTTATGTTTTGAAGGGGAACGACGTTCTGAAGGTATCAGGGGTGCCCAATACATGGATCGCGATCTATCAGTCAGTCGCAAAGGCGTTATGAGTAGGTCACATGTCATAAAAAAAATAAAAATGGACGCCAGCATCCTCATTATGAGATTTGCTACATGACTGACATACAGGGCAGCCAGTCTGAGGCCCACTACGTGAAACTGCAGCCATTCTGCTGCAGTTCGGCCGTTCGTTTAGCCTACACTATAACAGGACACGTAATGAGCCCTCCCACACACATGGAGGTGTGAAATGCTCCTCAAGTGTGAAGTCGCACATGCGCACTACAGGCGGCTGTGATCAAACGTTTTTCTGCTCTAACAACAGTTATAATAAATGGCAGAGTGTTTTTGTGCAACTCACCCTTTTTCAGCATGTAGGAGCAAAACTAATTAAATCCAGTTCCAAAGAGATGTCAGTGCATTCACCGGTTTGGACGTAACTGTGTTATGCAGAGTTGCATGCACAATGAATGCAACTGAGCCTCATATCAGGGTTGCCAGATAAATTTAAAATGTCCTAAGACCCACATGTCTACACCTCCAGATGCAGGAAGAGGGCCACCTGCATCATGAAGGACCCCACTCACCCAGCACACACTTTTTGCCCCACTCCCCTCAGGAAGGAGGTTAAGGAGCATTAAGTGTAGAACCACTAGACTGAGGAACAGCTTCTACCCTGAGGCTGTTAGACTCATGAATCTCTAACTAGAATAATCACTGTGAAAAACCATATCAGTTGCTGCTGATCTGTTTCATGTTGCTGCTGATCTGTTTCAATGTTGATGTGTTCATGCGTGCACATCTGCTCACAGACTCATGTTCATGTTTGTGCTGATGTTCAATGTTTTTATGTTATGAGTGCTTAGTGTATATTTAGTTGATGTTTTTCTTAGTTCATATCTTAGATGTTATTACTGTTTTTCTTATACATTTTATTGTTGGATGTAACTGGGACCCTGTGTACATAATTTCGCTCCACCACATGTACCACATGAGGTGCGAATGACAATAAAGAAACTCTGACTCTGATGTTCAACATACAACACACACCTCATCTTAGAATATCTTTACTCAGCATATATGACAGTTTAGGTCAAAATACTATAATTTTAAAGCCACACTACAATAAATCATAAATTCTTATCTGGCAACCCTGATATGGAAATTACCGTGTTTTTGTGTAAACCCGCTCATTTTTATTACCCCCACTAAAATATTGAAAAAACACTAACATTTCCAGAGGTTGTTCTCGTGTAAACGGGGTCTTATAGTAGGTAGATCACTTTGACTTGGTCATTTTAAAAGTAGCTCGCATGATGAAAAAGTGTGGGCACCCCTGCTGAAGATTATCAGTCATCCAGGACATGGGAAATTTAAAGAACAACGACAAAGCAACTGGACGTTTGTTCTGTAGCTGAAGACGCGTGGCGTTCCAAGATTTAAACTGCACAAGGTTATTTTTATTATTATTATTATACTTGTATCAATCCGCTCACCCCTATCTCATGACGTAAAAGTCAGATGAAATGCGACATGAGCGTTCAGACTGCAGTCACTTTAAAAAACACAATTCAGTACCACATATGAAAAAGACCTGTGACGGACTTGGAAAAAAAAGGGACTTGTCGTGTTCAGACCGTCATGAAAACAATCCAGTATGGGTCACACTTACCTGCAGAGCGAACGCAGTCGTAGATAAAAATTCTTATAATTTTGCAAAGAGCTCCAGGTTACAAGATGAAGCTCTTTAGTTGAAATCACGTCTAACTGAAGATTAGACCGTTTAGATCATCGCTAGATTAAAGAACAGCTCCCAGGTGATTGTGACTTGCTGTGTTTCAATCTTTATACACGCAAAATGCGAGAACACAAATTAGGCAAAAAGTTGGAGCAAATGGTGGGTGTTGACTATTCTTCACTTAGGGACAACCTTCCAAACCAACAATAAATTAATGATCGTGATGCTGCCGTCAGTGTTGCTGAACTAAAGCATTCTACGGCAAGTGTATGAAAAAAAATCAATGCCAGAAACTTTTGATTTGTCAATAGCCATAAATAAAATAAAACAACACCACGAGTATTGAAAAATAAACGAATGAATGAAAACAGAGCAACATTTCTATCAAAATCCAGATGAGTTAACGGTTTATTAGCAAGTAAATATGATGTGGCAGCAACTAATAGTGTTTGTAATCCCACCTGCTGTTGCTCCATGGCCTCCTTGTGGGCCTTCTCCATCTGGTTCATCTTCACTCTCATGTTGGACTCCTGGTACTGAAAGTCTGCTTTGAGTTCTGTAAGCTGTTGGAGAAATGTATCATAAAACACAAGAAGCAAATAAGAGCAACGTGCAGCTGTGACTAATATGAACGGTTGAGGGGGACCCACCTTTCTGTCCTTCTCCAGGATGGTCTGATCCCTCTGCTGCAGAAGTCTCTTCAGTGACATCACTTCCTCCTTCAGCTGGCTGATGAGGATGAAGTTGTCTGTTCCACCAGAATCCATGGACTGAGTGATGGAACTACTGTTGGGACAGAGTTTGCAGGTTTATGTCAGAAGGACCGATGTATTCTTCAACCTTCGTCAGATTTCATTCGTCTCCAACCATAACCAAGCCATACCTGTCCCCGTTCGATGGCTTCAACTCCAGTTTTGGTTTCTTCTTTGGAGTCTCCTTTTGGATTGAAGACAATTTATGGCTGCAAAGCAAATCCAGACAGTAAACAAGAAAAATGAATAAATGCAAACAATATATTTCTCGATGCAGTTTAAGTCAGAGGGACAGTTGTACCTCTGCTTCCAGAGTCCCGGCTCCGGCTCAGGACTCAAGCTCCCACTCAGTCTGTGAAACAGCAAAGTAAATCAGTAACAGAGTCTGACACACAAACTTTCAAAAGCATTACTGCATGAGCCGCATACTACTACTGCATAGTTGTCATGAAGAAGCCTCCAGAATGTCTGAGACTTTTGCAGGGTTTTGAATTGAAGTGGCAGAGTCACACATTCCTGTGGCTCGAGTTTTGGAACGTTTTATTAAAGTAATCACAGAGTCGTAGCTGTATTTTGACACCTGCACACACACACACACAAAAAAAAATGTATGCTGAAAAAAATAAATCATTATTAAAAAACGTCTTCCCATCTTCATTTCAAAAGTCCTAAATGTGGGGCGGCTACCAAGGAAGGTCGAAAATGAGTTGAGGTGGGTGTGACGTGAACAAAGTAAGCACTTTTTACAGACACAGCATCACAAAGTGCTTCACAATTATTATTTTAATTAGATAATAATAATAATAATGTGCATGTATCGCCATCATTGTATGTTCCCATATGTTATGTCCACTGATTTCTAGGGGGTTCTCTTACTAGAGGACAACCTTTCTCCTCCTTTGCTTGTTTACAGGCCTGCTGTCTGACCATGCTGCACACCTGGAATCACTTCCTCCTCATCAGTGGACGGCGTGAAAGCTTCAGCGATCCAGCGCCACGCCCCTTTCTCCTTGGGCATTTCTACTTGGTTCAGAGCAGAGCAGTGTGGTTGACTCTGAACTCTGTGCAAAACATTTTTAGCAACTCTGAGTTGATTTCTGTTAACTTCTGTGAACAGTTCTATTTAAGAAACCTTTGGTTTAGATGGGAAGTTTGGTAGGGGTTCTCTGGCATTTTATTTTTAACCAACTTTTCTCCTGTTTTGTGGCCAGCCAGGGAGCCTAGGAATTCTAGTTTTGTTCGATAAGAGGTGATTTTGTTTTCTAGCCAGAAGGGGCATTCTTTTGTTTGTTGTTTTGGCCTTTGAGACCCTGACGTTCATGGATTCCCCTCTTGTCTGCAACACCTAAAAACTCTTACACAATTAAATTACTGTAATGCCAAGTTAGTTTGTTTTTGAGTTATTAGCTTTATGTTAAGTTTACAATTTTTGTGTTGCACCTTGCACCTCCTAGACAAGGGGTGGGCAAACTTTTGGACTCGCGGGCCACATTGAGTTAAATTGGAGCGAAGGGCCGGGCCATAATACACGCCAGTGTCTGTAGTGCGCCTCTACTGGGGAAATGCTGGAACTACAGGTAAAACGACACCAGTTTCCCCCCACCCCCCCCCCTATTAAATTCAGTTTTTTAAATATAATTTGAACCAGTAGTGATTTTAACCTCTTTTTGGGGGTGCTTAAGCACCCCTAAATTTGACCTCAGCACCCCTGAAAAATAAAGTATATATATATATATCGTTCAAATTTTGGACAATTTCAGCAGGCCAATTAAAATGCCCAATGGGTCGGGGTTTGCCTATGCCTGTCCTAGACTTATTCCAAGGGTTGCAACACCATACAATGGTGAAATTGGATCTCTGCATTAAACCCATCCACGACCAGGTGGTGCAGTGGGCAGCTTTTGAAAACACCTGGGGAGCATTTTGGGGATAAGGTGTGCTGCTCAGAGAGACACCACGAGATGTGCATTGACTGGGAATCAAACCTGGGACTTTTGGGTCATAAAAGCCTGTCTCAATAAAAATGCCTTTAGATGTTTTTTAAAAGAGTCAGGGAGTCTGAACAGCGATGGAACAGTGGTACAGTGTTCAAAGGCCTCGGGACCACCACCTGAAACGATTGGTCTCTGCAGGATTTGGAACAAGTATGTGGTACCACCAACAGCAGTTGACTTTAAGACCTCAGAGTGCTGAAGGGAGATAGAGGTTCCAAAAGATCCCAAACGTATTTGGGGGTCTGAACGATGAAGTGCTCAGAAGGTTAGGACCAAATTTTAAAATTACTCCTCAAATGCACGGGGAGCCAGAGCAGAGAGGCCAACACAGGAGTAATATGAGCCCTTCTGTTGGTCTTAGTTAATAACCTCGCTGTAGTATTCTGCACAGACTGAAAACAAGACAAAGAGGTTTTGTTTAAACAAGTAAAAAGACTGCTACAATAACCCAAACGGGTGGATATGAAAGCATGAATAATCATCTCGCGCTCAGTCTGAGACACAAATGAGCTCAGCTCGGAAATGTTTCTTATAATAAAACAGGAACTGGCGTTTTACAGTGATTGTCAAAAGACGAGGAACTGTCAAAGATGACACTTCACAGTAGGAGTTAAAGCAGTGGTTCCCAACCCTGGTCCTTGAGGAACACCATAACTTTAAAAAAAAAAAAAAAAAACTTTTTTTTTTTTTTTTACTTATTTTACATCTTGCACATTTTAGTTGTTTTCCTGCTCCAACACACCTGATTCAGTGATTTAATTACTTCCTCAAGTTCTGCAGAAGCTGTTAATCACCCATTTATTCAGATCAGATGTGCTGGAGCTGGGAAAAAAAACAAAAAAAACTAAAGCATGCAGGATGGTGTTCCTCAAGGAGCAGGGTTGGGAACCACAGTTAAAGAAGCAAGATGCAGCCTGATTAAAGGAATTTTTTCATCAAGGGCAATAAAGATTCAGTCGTTTGTTTGTATTTAACTGCAGATACGCTCTGCACCGCCATAGTTTGATTTCTGACTAACAGCTGCAGATCTCAGTTTGCAGATCTCTGACATTTGCAAAGAACAGGACAACTGTATGTCGTCAGCATACAAATGATATAACAAAATATCATGGACAACAAAGTAAAGCGTACGGCCAAGAAAACAGTTGTGCAAGTCGCAAACACAAAATCAGGCAGTGCTTTAAAAAAAAAATTGGTCGTTCAAAACGGGTTTTCGTAGTTTCTCACAAGAATGACTCTAAGGTTGGAGAGTCAAAATGCAAGAAAATAAGTGAATTTTCCGTTGCAGTCTCACTAAATCATCAGCGTTTGCAACCAAGTCGTCAGCAAACCACATCCCCCCAACTTCCGATTTTCAAAAATTGCCTTGTCTGGCTTGCACATTGTGTTCTAGGCTGTTCACATTATTTCAGGCGCAACCTCTGCTCACACTGTATCCGTCTTGACTCATTTAGTACACACCTGACAGCCGCCCTCACATACACTTTGAAGTAAAGACAGGTACATTTGGACCTGTGTTTTTTTTTAAAGAAGTAATATTTATTAACAATTTGTTTAAAGTTGGACTTTTGGGGCTGTAGCCTCAAACGTTTGCTGTCATTAGTAGAGCTCCTACAGGTGTCAAGATACAGTGCTAGCACTCTAAAGTTAGGAAAACTAAACTGAGATCGTTCTGAGATGCCAGCAAACACCTGTGCAACCATTCAGATCTTTTCTTTTTGTGTACAAACCTCTTGAGCATGCTCAAAATTCAAGTGCCTCTGCGAACGAAACGAGGTAATTGAGACTTCCATTTCGAGACTAATGGAGAACAACGTTCACAGCACAGTCACCAACAGTAGCAGCGCATTGAGATACTGCATGGAGATTCATCTCCAGTCTTTGTGAGCATCATGGGATGGAGCAAAGTGATACAACCGAGGACATACTTGTGGTGAGAACTGCTGTGTCTGTGTGGGTGGTGGTGGTGGTGATGGTGGTGGTGATGATGGTGCGATCTGGAGTGGTGGTCCTTCTCGTTCAACGATGAGGAGTTGGAGGACCCGAAGCCCTTCCTCTGCTCCTTAGTCTTCTGCAGGACACGGCGGTAAGACAGCGTGCAGAGCCAGCAAAGAAGTTTTCCATCCACCTGCAGCAGACGCAGCGGCTCGTAAGGCTCACTAAAACACATGAGCTGTAATCTCAAGAATGTGTGTGAGGTTTGCACCTTTCTCCTGCCTTCCTCCTTACGGTCAAAGGCGCATTGTTGTTTGCACTGTTCACAGGTCTGTGGAGGTCCATACTTCTTCTCTGAGTTGGTACAACGTTGGCACTTTGTCCCAATAAAAGCAGCAATGATGTTACAGTACTGGCAGGGTTTGGGCTACAAAAAAAAAAAAAAAAAAAGCAGTGACTAAATCTTACATGCACATGAAATAATCACCAAACTACAGTTGACATGGACGCCAAACCATTACGTTGATGATCAGTTGCACGCATGCAGAAAATGAAGCGGAGTTAAACGAGAACGTTTCTGTTACTCACTGTCCCAAACTGTTTGACGTTCTGGGCGCACTTCTTACAAATCGTATTGGTTTTACTGCAGACGAACAAACAAAACAATATCCGCATCAAATGTACCAAAGAGAAAACAAAACCGTGTTTGCATTAGTGAAAGACGCAAATCAAAATTAGCGGCACGCAGTCTCACCTCTCCTGCTGAAACTCAGATCTGCAGTACGTGCACTTCACGATCGGATGCGCGATGCGACACTCCTGTGGGATCAAAAACAAAATGATGACTTTTTTGTGTCGTTTCCCTTTCCTCCACATCCTCCTCCGTAAAGCCTTATTGATGAATGTTGGGACGGACATGCGGAAGCGCGACTTGTACCACCACAGCGTGTGTTTGTGCGATGCCTCTTGGCAACAACATCAGTGGAAATGTCAACATCTGGCTTTTGGTGATCTATACAAAAAGTAAACTTGGCAATGAATTATTCTTATTTTCTTGCATATTGTAGTAGGGGAATAAATTTTTTTTAAGACTATCTGCTTTTTTTCTATACTTTTAAGCTAGAGATTAATGATATTATCGGCATGGTATCAGCATTGGACGATGTTTGCAATAAAGTTAAATTTCAGACATCGGCTATTCCATCAAAATAACTCACCGATATAAAAGGCTTTTGTTTTAAGTTCATTTTTAATTTAAGAATCTGTCAAGTATATCTATTAATGCACTACTACTTGTGTACTTTTCACTTGTGAACAAGTTGAGTTCAGATTTGTGAAAATTTACAAGAGAGTAAATATCATGAATACATTTGACATTAAACATAATCCAAGTTGAAGTGTTAAATTATTTTCAGCCCCTTTTAGGCATCTGCATTTGGTAGCAGGCCAAATTGACAAAGACCATGCTGAACAATGTATTTTTATTCTACAGCAGAGAAAGCTATGTAGTCTCTGTAAGTAGGTCTAGAGGGGAAAATATCGGTATTGGTATCGGCCAAATAAGTTTTAACATATTGGCATATCGGCCAAAAATCCAATATTGTGCATCCCTAGTTTAAGCACATTAACAAAAAACAGATTGCCACATTAAAAGGCTGCAGGCTACCTTGTACTTGATATATATTTTGTAAATGTTGCACTTAGGGTCCATTTTTAGAAAAAGAAAACCTCCTTTATTGCTTCGCTGATGATGTCCAGGTGTATCTGTCAGCATCTAGTCATCCACTGAAACCATTATTTAAATACCAGTTTCATAATAACTGGGATGGGATCCAGTAAAGCTTTCTCAATCTTAAAGAAAATAAGATTGAAGTCTTAATTTAGAAAAAAAAAAATTAACTCCTTCAACAAATCTCGTACAATTTTTGGGCATATTGCTCCGTACACTCGCTCTGCTACCAGGAGTCAAGGTGCGATTTTTAAAAAACATTTTTTTTTTTTTAATAGTAGGTTAATGCAGTTGTAAACCATTGAACACTGCCAAGGTAAAGCTGTATCATTTTGTCTGCGACCTGTAAAAAGCCATCCATGATTTTTATCACGTCTTGATTACACTATTGTACTGTATTATTCGGATTATAAGGCGCATTAAGCGAAACACGGTCATTTTGACAGATTTTTGAGCACCGTGTACCACATAAAATCAGTTCGAGGTCAGTAAGCACAACCAGCATTAATACATAAGACACACCGGATTATAACCACGATCGATTTTTGAGAAAATTAAAGGATTTTAAGTGTGCCTTATAGACCGAAAATTACGGTAATGCTGTAGATGAGCGTAAACAAAGTTTTTAATAGTCAACCCGCCTGATGATAGCAGTAGATACATGTGAGCCCTATACAGAGTATGACATTTGACTATTTTATTCAACAACGTTCCCTGTTGTTGATTAATGACAACACAAACATCTATGATGTAATTAATAGTCACCTACACATACTAGTTTTATTTATTGCAACATTTGTGATGAAAACAGGTCTTTAGGAAAGCTTTTTTTAATTTAAGTAAATCATGTGAAGCCCATTGATTTGGTGGGGTCCCCTTGTCTCAACTTTGGGAACCACAATGAAATCTTTAGTCCAAAAACACAACAAATGGTCTTTCAACTGGTAAAAAATAAATATTGTCCTGGCCTTCTCCTTACTGTATATTGTTGTAGAAGTGACGTTTTGTTCTTTTGCTTTACTGTGAAGCACTAAGGCCATCTTCTGTTAAATGAATAAAGCTGACAGTTGACAAGTGCATTAATGGACGTTTTCCAACTTGTTACATAATCTTAGCTTTGCTAAATCTGCTCATGGCGGCAACAACAACAACAACACACACACAGGCGCGCGCGCACACATCAGGCTTGTTTATGTCTTCAGTCACCCCTCACACAGTCCAACCTTGCACAGTTGCTGGCCCTGCGACAGCTCCTCGAAGGGGTACCGCTGGTTACACTTCGTACAGGCGTACAGAGCCGACGATGCCATGTCTCGTCCACCTGGTCCCGGAGCCGCCGAGCTACAAGCAGGAAGTCCAGCTGCAACGTGAACGGATTAACCGCTGTTTTCTGTTCGAGCCGCGCGCGCTACACCGAGAGCTAACACCGTGTTGGCACCAGCTAGCTCGTGCTAACCAGAACTAGCTCAGCTGGAGGGAGCAGGCGAAGAACAATAAACTCCAGATATTCTGGAGTCACTGCGTTATACAACCGTCCTGGGTGAGCATCGGTTTCTATAAAAGTCACCACGCAGGCAATCCTTTCCCAGCGCTCAACTCAGTAAGGTTAAGTTTCCGCTGCTGTCCAGAAAAATGAATTTTCCTTGTGTTTTCCGTCTCTTTTTTTGTGTGTGTGTCAACGCCGTTAGTCGTCATGTAACCGGAAGTAGCCGACAGCTCCCGATGGAGCGGAAACCTTTTACGACAGGAGGAGCAAGATGGCGGGTTGAGTGGCAGTGTTTTTTTGGAGCTCGCATAGCAAGACCAAAATTTTACCTATTACTTAATATAATTCTCCATCAAAGAGATTGAAATGGCTTCCCAGAACACTAATAAATCTACCAAGCTTAAAGCTGACTCAAAAAAGAAAGAAGCAGCTTCAAATAAAGACCACGGCTACGCTATGGAAATCTCCGCTCAAAATAAAAGGGAAAGAGACGTCTCTGCACCCTCAACTCCCAACAAGTCACCAGGGGAGAAACGACTCAGGTCAGTTGAAGAGGAAGGAGAGGATGAAGTCTCTCTCAGAGATATAATGAAAAGTATTATGTCGCTTGGAGAGAAAGTAGACAATATTGAACAACAGGTGACTCGCAGCAGTGGTATGCTAGCTAGCCTAGCCAAAGCAGTGGAGTTTAATGCTAACGAAGTCAAAGAATGTAAAGCAAAGGTGAAAGACCTGGAAAAGCAAAATGTTCAACTACGAGAGGAGAATGCTGACCTTAAAACGAGGCTCAGAGAACAGGAGAGATACAGAATGAGATGGAGCCTTCGTATAAAAGGCTTGAAGGAGGAGAAAGATGAAGATATCAGGGCTGTAGTTGTACAGACTCTGAAGCACATCGCTCCTGAATCTGAGTCGAGGATGGAGGAGGCAGTGGATGTTGTACACAGACTGGGAAGGAAGATGGAAAGCAAACACAGAAACGTCATTGTTCTTTTCACTCGAAGAATAATGAAGGAAGAAATCTGGAGGAAGACCAAAAAATCCACCTACTGCAAAGAACAGGGCATCAAGTTCGCTGAAATGTTACCCAAAGAGGACTGGGAGGAGAGGAATCGTCTGTGGCCGCTCATCGATGAAGCCAGAAAAGCTGGGAAGGTGGCATACTTTCGTGGCCCTTTTGGATATATTGATGGACGCCAAATTGGAACGGAAGGTACGCATACCAGATAAGATGGAGAAACAGGACATTAAAGAGACTTGCAAATGCAGCTCTTCAGTTCAACCTCGCTTACTGAGCATCATTTCTTGTTAATTGTTTTCAAAGTTCTTGGGGTTAGACCCTTTTTTTTTTTCTTCTTATTTTAGTAGTTGTTGTTTTTATGTTAAATGAGGAGATTTCTTTTGGTTCACTCAATGTTAGAGGTTTAAAAGACAATATTAAAAGGAAAGCATTATTTTTGTTCTCGAAAGGACAGAAATCGAACTGTTTTTTATTTCAAGAGACTCATTCATCGAACACAGATGAAACCTTTTGGGCTAGTCAGTGGGGTGACAAGATTTTATTCAGCCACGGCACAAACCGAACTGGTGGGGTTGCAATTTGTTTTAACAATTTCCCTGGGAAAATATTGACACACAAAGGAGACACACAGGGTCACTGGTTAACAGTGGTGACCAAAATGGATCACTTGGTCCTCATAATAGTTAATGTTTATGGTTTTAATAATGACAGTTTAAACAGAGCTCTTCTGGAGGAGTTATCTCAGGTTATACTGGAATTTAAAACACGATATCTCACTGACCATGTCATTTTGGGGGGAGACTGGAATATGACTCCAAATGAATGGCTGGATAGGTGGCCTCAAAGAACAGGCAGACAACAATTCAACAATTTGATAAATAGTTTTATGACAGATAACAACCTAACTGATGTGTGGAGAACACTGAATCCAGGACTTGCTGAATATTCGTGGATAAAACCTAACGGGCAATGCAGATCTAGACTGGACTATTGGTTAATAACTGATGACCTTTTATCATGCAGCACAACATCTGAGATCTCTAAAGCTCCGCTGTCTGATCATTGCTTCATAAGCTTAATATTAGGTCCTAGTACAAAAACAAAGAGAAATAAAGGCTATTGGAAATTTAACAACAGTTTATTAGACAATGAGGAATATTGCACTAGGATTAAAAAAACTTTCAAGGATGTGGAAGCTGATCAGTCAATCACAAATGACATAAATAAATGGGAATTTTTGAAATATAAAATAAGATTGGATACTATATCTTTTTGCAAAGAGCTCAGAAAGAAAGGAAAACAGTACGAATTTGATTTGTTCAAAGAAATTAATCAAACTTGTAGCTCTTCCGTTCCAAATAGTCCAGCATTAATGGAATTACAAGCTAAATTAGATGTTTTATATTTACAAAAGGCTCAAGGTGCTTATGTCAGGTCGAGAGCAAGATGGATAGAAGATGGAGAAAAGAATACCGCGTACTTTAGCCGCTTGGAAAAAAGTAGACAACAAAGGAACTCTATAACAACTTTATTGATCAATGATGAGGAATGCAATGACAGTAAGATTATAGAAAGAGAAATCTTTAATTTTTTTTCTAATCTATACTCCACTCATTTCTCATTAGAAGACTCTAATTGTTTCTTTGAGAAAATACAAAATAAGATTCCACAAATTGAAGAATCATTTAAAAATCTGTGTGAGGCAGAATTTAGCCCAGAGGAGTTAGAGACGGTTCTCTCTAAGATGCTGTTAAATAAATCACCAGGCACCGACGGTCTCACCACCAATTTTTATCGATTTTTTTGGAATGATATTAAAAGTCTTCTATTTAGAGTAATAAATGCATGTATAGAGAGAAAGATGTTGACTCCTAGTATGAAAGAAGGTTTAATAACATTAATTCCCAAATCCGGTAAGAATAAACAAATAATAAACAATCTTAGGCCAATTACTTTGTTAAATACAGACTATAAAATTCTCTCTGGGGTTATTGCAGCAAGATTAAAAGAAGGAATCTCAACAATAATTAGTGAAACACAATCTGGTTTTATAAAAGGTCGATCAATAAACAACAATGTTCGACTTGTGTTAGATCTGCTTGACTACAGTGACTTAATTAACGAAGAGGGTTTTATATTATTCTTAGACTTTTACAAAGCTTTTGATTGTGTTGAGCACCCATTTATAATGCAGACCCTGGATTATTTTGGTTTTGGACAAAAATTTCTCAGTGTTGTGGGAATGCTTTACAATGATATTAACAGCTCAGTCTCTCTGAACCACGGGACTAGCCCTAGATTCGAGGTCAAAAGAGGAATAAGGCAGGGATGCCCCTCCTCCCCTCTGCTGTTTATAATGGTGGCTGAAATGTTATCTATCTTAATTAAAACTAGCGACATTGAAGGCATTAATGTATTTGGAAAACATTTAGTAATAAGTCAGTTGGCTGACGACACAACTCTTTTTTTAAAGGACAGTAGTCAAATTCCATTAGTGTTACACACTATAGATTGTTTCTCTAAAGCCTCTGGTTTGCAATTAAATATAGATAAATGTGAAATTCTGACCATTCATGATTACCCTTTGCAGCCACTATATAATATAAAAGTAAAGAAAGAGGTGAAATATTTAGGAATATTGATTTGTAAAGATAGAGCAATATCTGAGGAGAAGAATATCTTGAGCAATATTGGAAAATGCAAATCAATTTTTAATAATTGGCTGCAAAGGGATATCACCATATTTGGAAGAATCCTCCTAACCAAAACGGAGAGTTTGTCCAGACTGATTTATCCAGCATGTTCTCTGCCAGTCCCTCCACACATTATTAGAGACATAAACAAAATCAACTTTAACTTTATATGGAAGAACAAATGTCATTACATCAGAAAAGAAGATATAGTTAAAAGCTATGAGGAAGGTGGCAGTAATGTCATTGATTTTAATGCCATGAATGGCGTTTTAAAACTTAATTGGCTGAAATCATTTTGTAACAGTTCACAATCTTTTTGGTTTGTGATTCCTAATTATATTTTTCAAGCTGTAGGTGGAATAGATTTTCTTTTGAGATGTGATTTCGATTATAATAAGTTGCCCATCAAACTGTCAGACTTTCACCAACAGGTTCTGCTTTATTGGAAACTCCTCTACAAACACAATTTCACTCCACATAATACTCCAGTTTGGAACAATAGATATGTTTTTTGTAATAGAAAATCTTTATTTTTAGAGAATCTGTTTTCTAAAGGTATCTGGGCTGTATCACACTTTATGAATGATAATGGTGATATTTTGTTGTTTAACGAATTTTGTTTGAAATATAATCTTGTGTGTGATGTCAGGATTTACAACAAGCTGATAAAAGCAATACCAACACCTCTTAAATCTATGGTTAAAGAAGATTTGCTTCACTCCAAAGTATCCCCTGATCTAAGTCAACTGTTTATAGAAAACATAAATTTTGGAGATAAAGCAATGACAAACAAGCTCATGAGGAGAGTTTTACAGAAAGAATTGTATCCTGGCCAAATCAAACGTTACTATATTCTTAAAGATTTTCAAATGGATATAATTTCTAGAATTAGGACAAAATATATCTCTTTTCCACTTCCTCCAAAACTTAAGGAAGTCCATTTTAAAATTCTAAATCACATCTATCCAACTAATGCTTTTATCAGATCTAGATTCAAGTTTGATACTGCTGGATGCACATTTTGTGATGATGAAGAGGAGGATTTAGATTAGGGGTGCACCGATTTCAATTTTCAGGCCGATCACCGATCACCGATTTTTTGAAAGTCTGAACTGCCGATTCCGATTTTGGCCGATACCGATTTTTTTTTATAAGCAACAGTGTCAGGTGTTACAAGATCACAATGCACCTTCAATTTACCAATCTTATTTTATTGTAAAACATACCCTTGAAAAATACCCTAGAAACAATACAAACTTGTTGTTTTAACTTGTCATGAGGTAGTATTCTGAAATATAAATGAAGTTTACACAATTTTTGTTAAAACTATAAAAT